AAAAATGATTAGAATTAAAAAAAAAGAAAAATTTTTAAAGTTTTTACCTTCATTATTATTTCCTTTTCCACATGAAAATTCACATTTATTTCGATATCCATCAATAATAGGCTAAAAAAAATTTGTTTTTGTTTTCGATGTTTTTATTGAAATGAAATTCTTACTGAAGATTTTATACCTTCAAAAGGTATAGTTACAATTTTTGAACTAAATAAAATTATTTTATTTAAAAAAAACAAAATCAAATATTTTTATTTATTTTTAACCTTGTTTCTTTTATTTTTTGTTCAAGTCCTTTTAAAAATTCTTGTACAATCTTTGATTTTTTTTCTAATTGTTCTTCATAAGATAAATTCCAAAGTGGTGTAGCTGAATTTTGAATTCTAAATTATGTCATAATATTTGTACATTCAAAAAAAAATATATTCTTAAGGATTCTTACTTAATTTCATCTGGTATATCAGAATCATTTTGATTATCTATCTTATAATCATGTTTTTCATCATCTAATTAGCTAATGTACAAGATAAAGATTAAAAAAAAAATTATGTTCATTTACTTTTTTTAGGTTTTGCCGGTCGAAACATTATATCTGTTGCTGGTTTAGCATGCTAAAGAATAGATAAACTTATGAAAACTATGATAATACATTTAAAAAAATAAAAATCCTGTGAGGCTAACTTTGTTTTTTTTTGAGTCCTGAATCCGATTCTATTTTATTTTTCGAATGCTTTAAAATCTTTTTCAGGATATTCATTCGCTGATTTTAGTGTTTGTTAGTCCAAATGCAAAAGTGATTAATCAGTCAAAAGATTTTATAAATTTAACTAACCGATACTTCAATTCGATTTCCTCGATAAGTCCATCCTGTAAGTAATTTTAAACCTTTTTCTTTATCTTCTTCGTTTCTAGACAAGAAAATAAAAAAGCAAAATCTTTATATTATAATTATTTTACCGAAAATTAACATAAGCATGTGTAGCTGCTTTTGGTACTTTTATTTTAACAAAATTAACACCTAATAGTTTAAGTTTTTTCTTTAAATCCTAATAAAAAAAAAAAAAAACACCGTCATATTATTCGAAATACTAAATACACTTACACCAAATCCAAAATATTTTGGTAGATTATTTAATTCAAGTTTAAATCGTTCTGATGTATATTCATCTCGTGCAAGATAACCTTTTTCTTTAATTTTAGGCTCTGTTGATGATTCAACTATTTCATCGGTCATTGATATTTCTATTTCTTCATCCATCTAGAAAATATTTTGCTAAAAAACTTTTTCCCCAAATAAAAACCTATACGAAATCTTCAATTATTTTCTAGACTATGTAAAAATTAATATTCAATATAGTTGATGTCAAAAGAATTTTTTTCGCTTCGGAGATAATTCGAAGCGAATGTCATTTCAAAAACTTGATTGTAAATCATCATTGCTGCAGTACAAATCATCAATGACTCATACATCAATCAATTAGCACCAATCATAAGAAGGCGGTTAATATTCAAATATTTAAATGTTTTAAATAATATGTTAATTTTCTTAAATTTAATAAAGAAAAATTTTTATAATTATTTTAAAAAATATTTGACTTTATTTATTGAAACTTGATTTTGATTGATTGATTATATTCTAAAGGAAAAATATGGATTTCATAAGCAAGAAAAAGAAAACAATTCCTCCATCTGAGATAGTCTTTATCAGATTTAATGAACTAAAAGAAAAGAAAATAAATCTTTATATTTAATTTTCTATTTTTAGATCCATCGTTTTTAAATTTATTCTTTACAAATGACTGATACGTATGTTTTACTAAATTGTTTTTTGTTTCTAACATATCAATTTATATAGCGTCAAAAAGATGGACACAACAACAACAGCAACAAAAAAGGCTATTCCAAAAGTGCCTGAAGTTTTATTAAAAAAACGTAAACTTTATGCTGATCTTAAAGCAAAACGTCTTCGTTCTCAAGTACAAGCTACAAAAGTAAAATATTTATTTGTTTTATTTTTCTTAATTTCTAATTTTTTTTGTTTTTTTTTCGGATTAGAATAAAAAATATAAACGTTTAGTTATATTTAAACGAGCCGAACAATATGTTAGTGAATATCGTAAAAAAGAACGAGATTTAATTCGTCTTAAACGTTCAGCTAAAGTTCGTAATAATTATCATGTTGAAGCTGAACCATCACTTGCTTTTGTTATTCGTATTCGTGGGTATGTTGTTTTATTTGAATGAGTAAAAACATTTGGTTTTTTTTTTTGTTTGTAGTATTCGTGGTGTACATCCACGTGTAAAACAAGTTTTACGTTTATTTCGTTTACGTCAAATAAATAATGGTATCTTTATTAAACTTAATAAAGCTACACTTCAAATGTTACGTATTGCTGAACCTTATATTGCATGGGGTTATCCTAATTTAAAAACAGTTCGTGAACTTATTTATAAACGTGGTTTTGGAAAAATAAATAAACAACGTATACCATTATCGGATAATAATGTTATTGAAAAAACTCTCGGTAAATATAATATTATTTGTATGGAAGATCTTGTTCATGAATTATTTACTGTTGGAGAAAATTTTAAAAAGGCATCAAATTTTCTTTGGCCATTTAAACTTAATAATCCAAAAGGTAAAAATATAATAAAAATATATTCATATAATTAATTTTTTTGTCAAATAGGTGGTTGGCGTAAAAAAGCTAATCATTTTGCTGATGGTGGTGATTTTGGTAATCGTGAACAATATATAAATCAATTGTTACGTAAAATGGTTTAGACGTGTTATAAACATTTCTTTTTTTTTTGTCACGTTCTATTCAATTTTTTATGCTCATCATCATCATCAGCATGAGAATAACGAAATAAAAAAAGAAAAGAACATCGTTGATATTTTGTTTCTAATAAAACAAAAAAAAAAAAGTTAAAAGTAGACATAAAAAATATGCATCACATTATATCAACTGTTCAATATGTAATACATTGTCTTATTAAAAAAAGATTTCTAAAATTAAGAACAAAACAGACATATAAATGCATGAATATCATATTCATATCGTAGGTTGTGATGACAAGTGAATATAATGTTCATCTATCTACTAAAGTCAATCATATGCACCTGAAAAAAATATTTTTCCGATGATAATTAGATTCAGATGGTTTATTAGAAGTTCATGATAGATAGACTGACGAGGGAACATTCACAAGTGTCCCATCGTTTTTGAGTTCGGACTCTATGCATAAGGTAGATCCCAGTGATGTATGAAAAACTCCAGAAGAATAAGTGCCCTTAGGCCTTCTGTCTAGAGTTATAGGCATTTTACCGAAATTTTAGCCTTTGGCATGGTATATACCGATAAATCGAATGACTGTATTTTGACCTTAGATTGTGTCCACAGATAGATCTATTTGTGAGTAGAATATCCTGAAAATTTCAGCTCAAAAGAATGTTTTATTCCTGAGATATTAAAGTCCCAAAAAACAGTAAATTCTAGCATCTTTCGTGGGATATTATTGATTTTTGGGACTTTAATATCTCAGGAATAAAACATTATTTTGAGCTGAAATTTTCAGCGTATTCTACTCACAAATAGATCTATCTGTGGACACAATCTTAGGTCGAAATACCATCATTTGATTTGTCGGTATTTACCATGCCAAAGGCTAAAATTTCGGTAAAATGCCTATAACTCTAGACAGAAGGCCTAAGGGCACTTATTCTTCTAGGGTTTTTCATACGTTACAGGGATCTACCTAATGCATAGAGTCCGAACTCAAAAACGATGGGACACTTGGGAATGTTCCCTCGTGAGTTGTCGTGTTCTATGAAAAAATTATCTTAAAAACGGTTGAACGTATCGAGCTGTCCTCTGGTACTTAAGAGTTTCTCGACGTGCTCTTGCTTTTGTCTAAAATGCTCGAAAGCAGGTTTTCTAGAAAACCGTGGTTTTGGAACCAATGATCGTGAATGTCTTTTTGTTTTAACAGTCTATAATGATAGAGTAATCAATTCTGTACAAGATGAGATGTCTCCGAGCTCTCAACGGCTTTTTTCCCAGAAAAAATGGCTTTTGCCTTCCACTAAAATTGATGTAACTCGGCCAAAAAAAAAGTCGTAGAGAGCTCGGAGATATCTCATTTTGTGGGGAATTGGTTGCTCTACTCATATAGACTGTTAAAACAAAAAACTTTTGCGACCACTGATTCCAAAACCACGGTTTTCCCTACTTCCGAGCGTTTTGGACAAAAGCAAGAGCACGTCGAGAAACTCTTAAGTATCAGAGGACAGCTCGATACGTTCAGCCATTCTTAAGATAGTCTGTACCAATTTTCTTATGGAACACGCCAAGTAAAAATCTTTTGTATCCATTCAACAAAATTAATAATCATCGATGTAGATTGCTATTAAAAATAATAATGTAAACATATCTTTATATTGGAAAATTTTTTTTCGAATTGTCAAATATGTTATCGAACATTTTTCTTTTTTATTGTGTTCTTGGAACAATATTTAAAATATGAATGTCTACTCGTTCATGAGTGAAAAAGTTTAAAAGCAAAACCTATTCATATTTTTCTATGCATATGAGAACAAAATATTATGACTGTTAAGTTTAGCATTGAACTATTGTAAAAGAAGAACAAATACTAAAATAAAAAAAAATTGTTACTTTTGATATTGAATGAATTGATTAATAGATCTTTTGAAAGTAAATGACAATTGCTATAAATAATTGAATATTAAAATGTAGTATAGAATGTATAAACACTAGATTATTGAAAATAATAATTGAATTTATACAAATTACATGATGAAAATAATCTTCTAATTGTTGATTAACTTTAATCTATATTGTTGACATATTAAACTGATACTTTTGATATTTATGATGAATTTTAGAATTTTTATTTTCATTTAAGAGAAAAAAAAAAGAAAAACATGACAATGATAAACTTTGCTCAAATAATTCTAAAAATCTGTATTGTTTTTTTTTTTAAATAAACATTGCCTTTCGAAAAAGATATTGAAAAATAGATTTCTTTGAAACATCTTGTTTAAGACTTTTTACTATATAAATACATTCTCGCGATTCATCTGATGGTGATTGTTTTGATATATTAATTTCATGTTCTTCTAATCGTCTAAATTTAGAAATCAAAAAAATAAAAATCAATTTATTATTTTGTTTTTCTACTTTGCCAAATCTTCAATATCAACAAGAATTGAATCTTGTTCCATACTTAATGAATCGCGTTCGATTAAAAGATTAACTAATTCATCATTATTTGCTTAAAGACAAAAAAAAAACATAAAATTTCATTAAATATTATATAATAATCTTAACTACTTTCAATTCGATAATGTAAATCATTAATAATCGTTTGTAATTGACCAATATTCATCTCTTTAAGTATATCAATTGTCAATAATTTATCATTATTTTCATTAAGTCCAATCTTTAATATAAAACATAATTAAAAGAATTTTATTTTATTTAATAATACATACAATATCATAAAATGATAATCTTTTTTTTGTTAATTCTTGTCGTTCAATTTCAACTTGCATTCGTGCCATTTTTGCACCAAGTGCAAGAGCAACTTTTGCTTCTTCCTAAATAACAACAGCAAACAAAAGAAACGTTTTTGTTCTATATTTAATAAATAAAATAATTACTTTTAATTTTTGTTGTTTTTTAAATATATCTTCATTTGTATGAACAATAGTAGAAGAATTTATTTCATGAATTGATTCATTTATTTGATCATGTTCATAATTCAAACCTATAGTTAAGAAAATCTTCTTATTTCTATTCTGTGCCATAAGACACAAATAAGTATTTAGGCAACTAAATATTTCCTTATTTTATAACCAATATTTCTTCTCTGTTCTTTTATAGTATGTGTGTTTAACATCCTTCTTTTTTCTTTCTCTTAATAGTTCTATATTTAGTGTCATCCACTTTTTTTCTTCACATCATTAATAATATTCGATGACATTACATTCTCATTTAAGGTATCGATAAAATATTAGATTTTCTTTTTTTTTACCTTGTTGATGTGTTGTAATAAAATCATTATCGACATAATCTTCATTTTCACATTCCGAATCATTACTAATAATTTCATTGCGAGCCTTCAAAAGAATAATTGATGAATAAAAAAACTAAAGATTTATTTCTCGAATTTTTTTTTGTTTTTGCTAATTAGATATTTATAATATCAATATTACTTGCAAACATTCATGCCATTTCCAACGAACTTTATTATATACCATAATCGAAATAAGAATAAAAATATTCTGATTGACAAGTGAACTTATTTCGTATGTTTATCATTCATCGATTGCCATTCTTTTCCGGACAAGATGAAGAAAAGACTAGAAAGATTTCTTCTTCTTCTTCTTCTTCTTTTTTTTGTTGTTTTGTTTCATTATCATTCTCTGCCTGTATCGTCATTGCTGTCGTTCGATAAAAAAAAACTCGATCCGATGTTGACAACAAGCAGTTCTTTTGTCATCAGACCGTTATTAATTTCATCATGTATATGTCAACATCTTATTTTCCTATAGACTTTGAACATATATATTTAGTTTAAATTTAATTTAAGATTTTCTTTTATGAATTATGTGTAGATTAATAATAATAGAAAACAGATTGAAAATGATTATATGTATCAATAGTATTTCATTCACTTACTTTTAATTCTAATTGAGAATCAAATTTAATATTTTTATTATAAAGATAATACAAATATAGATCCATAAAAACAAACAGAAAAGAAAAGAAAAACTGTTAGAAACATAAACGTCTAATTGAATATGACTAAAGCACTTTTTCTATAAGTGATGGAGAGAAAGCGAGACACAGATAAGAGACATCAAATTCTTAATGGAATGACAATGAGTGACCTGGTTTTAAAAAAGAAAAAAGGAAGAGAAAATGATTATGGAGTCTATTATATATGTAATATTTCATGAGCCTCTTTTTTTTTTTTATGTAGAAATACATAATGATTGACAATTCCTATTATTATTGAATAGGTGTTATTAATTCTTTTTTTGTATAGATAATAGAATTACTTTAGAAGATTGAATATTACGTAATACTATCTTCAAGGTTCTATATAAATGTTTTCTGATGAAATTGATTTTAGTTTGATGTATAAGAGTTTTTCATACAAAATAGTAAATAATAAGAATTGTTGTTTCAAATCGAATAAATTAAAAAAAAGCTTAAACTAGTATATATCTTTTAATACTAAATCAACTGAATCATGAAAACAAAATATCGACGATAAAATAGATTGTATGGCACTATTTAGGTCTTCAAACATGCTGTTGAAAACAAATTTTTCTCGGCAAGATTCTTTCTACTCCTTTTGTCATTCACTATTGTATTCTAATAAAAGAAAAGGAAATAGTTGTCTCTTATAAATTGAAAGAAAATGAAGAATGCCATTGAAAATGCATACGATCTTTTGACATTCTTTCAAATGGGTATACTTACACAGGAAAGACTCTTTAAAATATCATGTTCAAGTACGTTAGACAAACAAAATTTTCCTAAATTCATCCATTGTTAGACAAATTTTACAGGTTCGAGATATATATATATTTTTAAATGAATATATTTATAAAAATGTACGATCTTTGGTTTGATAAAATATGTCTATATCAGCCTTGGCTTTGAATAATTCTTTATATTCACTAGACTATGTCAAGTTCCATTATCTATTTATTTAATCTGTTTATGTATTATTTTACTTAAAATTCAAATTTAATTCTAATTGACTTGTCATGTAGTATAATTATTGTTATTATTCTTTTGTGTAATATATCAAATATTTAGCGTGATAAATAATCGACCATCTCAATAAGATAAATTTTGACAGATGAATGCATCCATATGACAACAAAAACAACAATTAGTTGTTCGAAATAATAACTATAACAAAAATATTCATATGTATTCTAGAAAATATAGAAATGTGTCTAATTTTTGAAAACTAATACATATTTTTTGTCTATTTGATAATCAATCTTTTCCATGTTTTGAATGATAAATTGATAGAATTTCTGCTTGATGATGATGATGATGTTGACAACATGGTATATATAAATAAGTTATTTATATATTCTAGTTCATTAAGTGAAAAAGAATTGTAACTGATCGTGTATGTACTTCATTAATAATATATTCCATGTCATTGGTTACTTTTAATTATATAATGCTAACAATTATATCAATATAAAAATTGTTTAACTCACTAGAATATATAATAGTCGAGTTATTTGGTTGATTATTGATTGAATGATTGACTGTGAACAATATTTCTAATAAAAAGATGATAATTCATATTGAAATCAAAATATTAAAATGTTTCTTTTTATTTAAAATTTATTTTTTATGAGAAAATCTTAAAAATAAACTAATAAAAAATTTAAAAATTTTTTTTCATTTAGATTTATTTCCAATGTAGCTTCCAATGATAAAATACTAGATACTTCTCAAAAACGATATAAAATAAAAGTGATAGTTCTTGTAATTTATAGGGAAATCCTTGTTTCCAAAAAACTGATCAAGTTTTTAACATCTTAGAAAGATCTATGGAATAAATCATGTAGATTCTTATAGTAGATTTCTTACTCTATGTGTGTTCCACATCCTATGAAACTTTCGCACAAGGTTTTTTTTTCTATCTCATACGTCTATTAATAGCTAAATATAAATCCTTTCGGATGAAGATACAGCATTTCTGTGTTACTTTGTCTTAGAAATATTTTAAGAGCAAAACAAGGAAACGTTTAGCATAAGGATTTCCGCATTGATTTAATATCAAAAATATTCCTTTACGAATTCCACTTATTTTGTTAAGTCTTGAAAATTAATATTTCTAGGAATATTACATCATTAAAATATCAGAACAGTTAATAACTGAATATATTTTTAAATGTTTTGATTACAAAATTATATTAAGCAAATGTTGCTTTCTTTGCTCTGTATGTTGAGAGACAATGGATGTATGCACGTCGAAATTGGATTATATAACACGTAGTTTCATGAGCATACTATCGTATTTAAACGCAAGTTTTCATAAATATTTTGTTTCCTTGTCCATTTTATGCGTTGCTTTCGACTAAGACTGTTCGAACTTTAATATTCTATTTACATGATTGCCTATATTGATCAATATGTATGCATATATAACGAATAGCTATTTTTATGTTTGAAAGTGTTCACAACTTGATAATGGTCAGCATCAAAACAACTGAAAAGAAGATAGTACTATAAACGTTCTTAAGTGTATTGACACTGTGTTTTCCTCATTACACGCTTGATCTATCTAATTATTAATAAAATAAATGAATTCGAATATATATATTAGTGCAGTAAAAGATTATGTTTACTATTTAAAAAACAAGCTAGTATTTCTGTTTATGGAATATTGCAATATCGATCTTTAATTCAATTGCGTCAATAGTGATGACTAAATATGAACTATCGATAAAATACTAGTAAACAAGAGAATCAATTCATATTGCAGGATATAATGCAGGCTTATTTTCTTCAATGCTATGACTTTTTTTAAACGAATGATCATACAAGCTGTAAAAGAACACTAATTTATTACGTATTACAGAATAGAATTTATAGTTAGTTCTCTTTTTACATTTGATCAAAAAAAATAGTAAAAAGAAATGAAGAACGAAACAAATCATAATTCGAGTTTTTAGTACACGAAGACATTCGTTCGCAAAATTTGAATAAATTGTAACAAAAAGTAAAGTAGTTGAAGTTTGATTAGCTAAGCAATGAAATTGATGCACCATTGCTATCGCAGAACGACGAAATTGACATAATCAAGATTGAAGTATTTTATTTCTCATTACTTTTTTCCTCTCTTCTATAGATCATTCAAATAAAATAGTTTTCTTTTTTTTCTTTTTACAGATGACAGTATTTTTTATATTTGTTATATCAACAATTATTATCAACATATGTTCAGCGCGGATCATTCATTCCAGTGGCTATTCCCGTTCGCGATCGAGCAATCTAATTATTGTGGCTATAGTCGTACCTAGCGTTGTTGGATTCCTCATTTTACTTATACTTATTGTCTATTGCAAAGCAAAATATGATAAGAAAAAAAGAATGAGTATTTTGCCTTCATCCATACACACAGACATAGCTGATCCCGTACAACCGTGTGCACCACCACCTTATAATTCGTAGGCTTATTCACCGCCTTATGAATATCCACCGTCTTATTCTGAATCTGATGCATCCAATGAATCAAAAAAACTATTTGTTAATGCATGAAACATAGTTCAACGTGAATAGAATGATTTTGTAGACAGAATATAATGACAAACAGAAATTGTTTTACCACTGTTATTGCTTCTACTTTTGAGTTATTTCATTGATTTTTTATCAAAAAATTATTTTTTTTTACATAAATAAAGTTTTCTAAATAAGAATATGACATTTTTCTGCGGAGTACATGTGACACATTTTCGATTTTGTTTTATAGAAAAATGTCAATATTGTATTCTTAATTTACTGTAATAGTGAGTTATTCGATCATGTTTTTCTTCGAACAGAGATGATTCATGAAGTTTAATTAAAACTAGCTTTATTCAGAAGGTAGTGTTCTTCTCTTCATCAGACTTCATCTATTTTACGGAGTAAAATCTTAATGCCAACACCTCTTTTGGGTGTGAGTGTTCAATTCCCTCATAACGACTGTCCCACTCACACCAAAACAAGAGAGATTGCGATAAAATAGAAAAAAAGCATCTAAATTTAATTTCATATCTGAGTATGTTGTCTTTTTAATCTCTTATTTTTACAGCTGATTATCATGAGCATAAGAATAAGAGAAAATTAACTCAATCATATAGACTATTTTTACACAGATAAGAAAAATTACATAAACATAAGCCTGGAAAAAAAATAAATTGGAGTAAGATTTGATATAGTTAAATAGGACGAATCACATATATTGCATGACTTATCGGTATTATCAAAAACTCGATAGACAATGACGAAACATGCAACAAGATAATTCTTTACTTTAACTATATCCTTTATTAATTAGTTGATTACCACACACGACAACAGTGAGAGAAAGAATTATATAACTAAAGTAAAGAAGGATTGGAAATGACAATTGATTGATTAACAGCAGCTATCATAGTCTATGTATGTTTTTCGTTCATAAATGTACATTTTGTCGACGTAAACAATCATACGTTTAAACACTATAAAACTTGAAAATACTAAAGGTTTTTTAGTAAAACTGAAGACGTCAATAAAATTTTCAAAACAGTACAAATATCTCTCTTTTAGAGTATTAACATGACAAACAATTAGTTCTCTAGTCATGATGATAAAATGTTTAGAGGAATACATATTAAATTATGAGCGTGTGAGACAAACCTAACGTAAAAACATTCATAACACGAACTTTTTAAAAATGTAAAATGTAAATTAAAGTTATATACGCGTACACACTTCGAGTGTAAATCTTTTCTTTTTTACACGATTACTTTTGTTCCAAACGCAATTAAATACTCAAAAGGTTATGGTTTTGAGTATGTAAAGACATTTTCTAGAATTCTTGTCTATCTAGAAAATATAAAAACTTGTAGAGATGTAGATTATCTCTAAGTTCATACTTTATTAGTCAGTAACTATCGTCATTATTCAAAGAGTGTATAAATGGGATTACTTTTTTCTTTTAAACAAATCTGTATTATTCATTTAGAATGTAATAACGGAGAATATTTTATTTAATTACAATCAATCGAATATAAACAATTAATTCTTAAAATGATTACATCATAAACATTCAGGTTTTTTTCGAGTGTTTTGTTTGATTTTTGTAGTAGAGATGGTGATATTGAATTGCAATTATAATATCGTTCTATTCATACAAAAACTAAGAAACAACCGAAAACTTTGTCGAGATAAAGTATCTATATTTAAACAAGATTGGAAATTAATAATGAAATTTTCACAAGCTATTCACATCAGTGAAACGAATAATGATGAACGTCAATTCGATGAATCCGTTTAAAAAAAAAGATTCAATCTCTTAAAATTAATTATTTTCTATAAAAATGCTTATGTAATTCAAAATATTGTTGTAGATAAAAGACAAAAACTCGAGAGAGAGTACAATAAATTTTTATTTCAATTCACAACACGTCAAAATGTAGTTAATCATCTCCTGTGTGTTTCTCATTTTGAAAATCAATGTTTCAATCATTTTACTGGATCATGATATTTTCAATATTCTTGTTTTCATTGTATTTTCACATGAGATCTGGTACATCAGTCTCTTTTTTTTCTTGATTATCAGTGAAATCAATACTAGTTTTTATTAATTTTTTCGTACTAATAACTAAAACAACCTAATCACGTGAGATCTCTAATAAATACCTTAAATTTATCAAGTATTTTCCGTTTTTCTTATAGTAATTGAATACGTTTCAACAGGTTTTCCCTTCATATTAGTTGATTCAACATATATCTTCAGATGCATATTTTTTTTTCAGTCAGCTCTGTGCTCTTTCATGCTTAGAAGGTGCTTCAATTTCTATATTAAAAAAAAAAGGCACAAGTAGTTGGCAGTTTTAAGTAATAAACAAGAGGATTTGACTGAAAATGCTTCTATTTGAAAATGAAATTACTTTAGCGTGTTCTCTAAAGGAGTACTAAAAGGCTCTCAAGTCATGTGTTTTTGATTAACAAAAGCAATTTTGATTATTTACTGTTTTCTTTTACCTTATATTTATTGTCTAAGTTAAAACGAGCTTAGATCGAATTATAGAACTGTCATATTTGAGGCATCCATAAACGACATTGCATTTTTGAACATAAGGACACACTGCTAAAAAAGCGAAATTCTAAACTGTATTTTGCTTCAGTTACTCAGAAGGAACCCATATGACAGAGGAAAGGTGAGAAAAATTCTAATGTAAAAAGTCTTGTCATGTATTAAGAACTTTATAACATCTTTTTGTAAGTTATGTAGTTAAAGTGTTTAAAATATCAGTACGATTATCGAATCCTTAATTCATTCGGCGGCTTGCATCTGTCGGATCCGTTAAAATTTAAATCTACTTTTTTTTTTTATTCTAAAATGTGTTCATTAGAAATTCAGAAATTGAAATTGTGAAAGATCATTAATCATTTCAACAAAAAAATCCAAATTGAAAAATCATACATTTTAATGCTTGATCAACTCAAAGAATTATTATTTAAATATTTGTTATTTGTGATGATGATGGTCTGAGAATAAGTTCTACTTCAATATATCATATTCTTTTAATATTATATTTTATTTAAAAATTTTAGCATTGCAAGATATGATTATAACATTTCAAACTAATCATTTTGCGCAATATAAATAAATATTAAATTGAGTTTAGATATAATGTTGTGTAATACACATTTCCTAATGCGTTACTTTTTTTTTTTCATGCACCTGTTTCATACAGACTAGCGATCACTAGTGTAAGTGAATTGTATATGAAAACAGATGGTGAATGGCTTGTTTTTACAACCATTCTCTATACCCTAAAGTCAACGCTACAGTCAATGCGCTCGCCAACTGTTATGATTAATAACTATATAACTATTTGTTTCCTTCCGACATGAGCCGATAGTAACGATTGCTTTTAGAATAATTTTCATTTTTTTTATCATGCATACAACATCAAAGAATAGTATTCAACAACGACCATTATTTTTACAGATGTGTGTCATCTGTTTGCATTTAACACAACGTTTTTTGGCAGTACGTTTTTTTGTTGGACTTTTTACTGGTATTATTTTTACAATAATTATTTATCATCTTCACGAACCAATAGATAAACAAAAATTCCGTCCTGATCAATCGAAATTTGAATATGAAAAAAATCAATTATCATTTGAAGATATTAATACAAGTCAATCATCAATGTGGAATAGTTCTTGGGATGGGTATGATATATATTCACTTTTTTTTTAAATAAAAATTTTTATTTATTCTTTTTTTTTTATTTTTAGTCTTAAAAGTGAAAATGGATGGCCACGTCATTATTATTTAATTCGACATGGTCAATATTTTGATAATGCTCGAACATTAAATGATATGAAATTAACATTACTTGGTAAAGAACAATTAGAATATACAGGCAAACGTTTAAATCAAATGAATATAAAATTTGATCGTCTTATTCATTCTGGTATGGTTCGTGCATATGAAAGTGCTATTATAATTAATCAACAATTTGATTCAAAACTTGAATTAATTGAAGATAAAAATTTATCAGAAGGTTTACCTGTTGCACCTATTCCATATGCTGGAATTTCTCAACGAGATGTTGATGTAAGAAGAAGATAAAATGAAATTTTTCATTTTTTTTTTTTTGTGTCTAATTCGAAACAATATTTATTTTGTTAGGCTTTTGGTGATAGAGCAAGAATTGATGCAGCTTTTACAAAATATTTTCATCGTTCACAAAAAAATCAATATAAAGAAACACATGATATTATTGTATTTCATGCAAATATTTTACGTTATTTTATTTGCAAGTAAGATTTAAATTAAAAATGACAATTTAATTTTAGATTTAATTTTCTTTTTTTGTTATTAGAATTATGCAATTTCCAATTCAAGCATGGTTAAGAATAACATTAAATCATGGTTCAATAACACAAATAGCTATTTTAAGTGATGGAAGTGTTCTATTGAAAAGTGTTGGTGATAGTGGTTTTATTCCGGCAAATAAAGTGACATTCTAGTCATTATTTAATTGTTATTTGGATAGTTCTAATAATCCTAGATAATGCTTGTTTGTTGTTTTTGTTGAACAATATTGAAACAAATTGGTTTTTTTTTTGTTTTATTTTATATATATAGTATTAATACAGACTCTTATTTAAAGATCTTGAAATATATTGAAACATATCATATAGGAGACAAGTTTGAATAAATAATAATTCTTCTAATAATTTAATCGTTGCATATTAATTTGATTTTATCATCTATCTTTCATCACTGTGAACAGATTCATACTCCGTAGCTTCTCAAAAGAGAAACTTTCAATAGCTCATTTGTTTGTTGTTTTTTTCTCAAAAAAACCATTATTTAATATATTCAATGGCTAATATGAATTTATCATAATTGAACTTTTTTAAAAGGTATGGGTGAAGGTGTTTTCTCTTTGGTTACACTATGCATACTCGCCACCTATTAACAATCAAATTTTCTCTTTCAATAACTCGCACATACTCACACTTCAATTTGTAGCACATTTTTTTCAAAAAAATGAAAGGTGTAATGGATTAAACTATCAGAAATTTTGTAAAAAATATAATAAGCTTGGCAAAAATAGAACGTGCTTTTATTGATTGTTTGAATTTGCAACGAAAAATTTTACAAGTACATAGAATCTAAAATTGTAATGATGCTTTGTTTTGAAAATCTGTGAATGATCTAAAAACCTTAAGTATTCTGTTTTTCGTCAGCAGAATATTTCAAATTTATTTAATCAGATCTTTGGCAGTGATATAGTGGTGTATATAGTTATTGATAGCTAAACATATAAAGTAGATAAAAAAAAATTATTACGTCAATATTTTGAAACCATAGCATTGTTTTTCTATAAAAACAAAACTTTCTGCTCATTTACACTAGTAGGGGAATCAGTCCGCGAATAATGAGATATATACGAGTTGCTGCTTTTCATTGATAAGACAATTTAAGAACTAACAACACAATCACAATGCAAGAATAAACGGCTTAAGCTTACTACTATTGCTAGTTACATAGAAAATACATTATGATTTCAAAAAAAAAACAATAGGAGTCTTTTTTTTTCATTTACAATACTTTCGAAAACAGTATATTTGTTCAAGCATTAGATTTGACTTTCTGGCGTTGAATTATCGTGTCAAATTTCTCATATTAGCCACATATTTTCAAAATTTTCTAAAAACATTGGTAATTAAAAATTGTGAAATTCTGGTCGTGATAAAGATTGAGGAAAGGGCGATACAAATCACACTGAAAAACAATAAACCAGTGCTTTTATCACTAGTGCCTTCTGCATGGCAACAAATAGGCAACTATTTTCAATGTGTTTATTCAATGAAAGCATGAATATTTCATAAAAATATAGAGTTCATTGCTTAATTGCTAATACAACATTGAATATGGGCTGCACCTGGACAATAACCACTGAAGGTAGTACCAGTACATGTTGCTCTATCACGGCAGATACCCGATCGTCCATTGACTGTGCATGAAGGATCAGCTGGAATACAGCATTGAATATTGGATGCGCCTGGACATAAGCCAGCGACTGATCTTCCAGTGCATGATGATGTTGCTATACATTGACCTGTCATGCCTTCAGCTGTGCATGTTACAACTAAATAAATTAGACAATTAGACAAAATTTACGTTGAAAATCCTCTCTGAATCAAGTCTCATAATTACCGCCTGTTCCACTTCCACAACCCAATGTAGTCTTTGCTCTGGCCCAATATTTTTCGCGATCTGCCTGTCCATTGGTTCCACCATTGATTTTTCTAGTGATTTGTCTGAAAGCATCTAATGTTCCAGCATCTGCTAAAGCATTCAACTTGTGTACAGTCCAAAACCAAACACTTGTTCGAAATCCGACTTCGGGCGTTGCTACAAGTTGTGGATTCGCTTCCAAATCAAGTCCTAAAGCTTTTCCTGCTGCTCGATAGTTGGCTCGACCTGTGAGTTGAATAGGACCTCGACCTTTGAATCGTCTGCCATCACCTGGTTGTGTATTGCCTAAATCCAAGCGACCTTCATAGGCATCGCCAGATGCTATTTCTTCCATGTAAACCAATTGACCTGATTCATGTGCTAATTGAGCGAGAAAAGCCGCCTTACGATGACATGTATTGATTGAACCTTCAACTAATGCTGCATTAATGTGACTCAAATATTCAGGATGTCTGTTATTCGGCATAATTGCTGCCAATTGAGCAGCAGTGATCGATTGCGAAAGACAATAGTGTACGTTGACAGCAATTACAACTAGTAGCAGAAGTCTCAACATGATTGAAAGAGAATATTGAATGAAGCTGTGAGGAACACCGGGAGCTATATATATCATCAAAAAGATACTCTTATTAGTTTTATTGTTTGGAAGATATCGAATTTCCCAATGCTTGAAATAAGGTGATATTAAGATAAATGCAAGATAAATATTTAGTATGATGCTTGTAGGCGTCTTAATATTGGTTCTTGAAAAATGTGAAAATCATTCTGTTCAAATTTCATCATGTTTTACTTAATCCTATGATAACTTCAAAATGTTTTCAATTTTGTATCGATGTGTCTATTATTATTCTATTAATACATTCACTTTTTCGAGCATTTAGCTTACACCTGTTTTTATATAAATGTGTTCGGAATCGATGATAGAAATGGCACAAGACCAATTTCAATGTGAAAAATAAATCAAATATGGGTCAAAAATGTTTTTTTTTTATCAACGTTTCTATAACGATCGATCACTAACATAAAGTCGACATTTGGATTTCTTGTCGATAGAGTAGAGATCTGGTATCAGTTTGATTTTATTTACTTAATGGTAAAAAAAATATTCAACATATATTATATTTTGAATATGTATTGGCTAAGAATCCCTTTCACTTTTTTCATTTGATTACAATAGCAGAATTTTTTTTCTGTTGTTTAATGATATAATCGCCAGGGCTTCCATAACTATTTATTGAAATTGTGCCTTTTTCTCTTTAATTATGTGTGGAATGAATAACTCAAACAAATAACATATCGAAACAGTATTGTACTACAACATATTCTAAGGTTTGCCAGATTGTTGTCAAAAGCGAACAATGCACATAATTTAAATTCTTTGGAATGGAGCGATTTTAAGAGAAGTTTATTGATTATTCTTGGAGAATTTCGAGTTAAAATCTCTTAGCCTACTTGAACGCAGAATGACTCTACTGGTCAACTCAGGCTTATATTTCAAAATTCAACAATATTGACAGATCGACATATAATTAATAAACAAATATATGCAGAGCATTCAAAAAACAATGACAACATAGTTTTATTGCTAGAAAATGCAATTTCATGCAGCTGTTCCTTACCAAAGCTTTTGATGTATCGATCTATCTGAAATTTCAACAAGCTTCAATAAATATTTATTGAACTTTTATGTTTAGTAAAAAAAAGTGGAGAATAATAAATCCTCACTACGCGCTTATCACCATTAGATAAATCCTTTTTTGGCTTATGAGTGCAATCTAAGCTTATATAGCCTCTTTTTATTTCATAAACCGCGACACGGGTTTTTGACCCGTTGCAGACTCATGTATCCTTGTACTGTTTTCTGTGTTCATACAATCTTTTGGGGATATAATTGAAATAAACACTTGGAAGAACGATTAAGTATTCGACAGTTTTATTTAAAACTTGCAATTATATATCCTTCGCTTGCAGGCTCTTTTCCTTCATATACCCAAAGGGCGTTAATGAATAAGATATGTGGGTGTAACTGTAAGTGGCGAAAGAACTCACGCCCACACCCATACCCTGACATAAAAAGATTCCTCGTTTTATTCTGCATCAGAACATATACTTCTTTCGAAAGTTCTCTAGGGGGTCGACTAATGTTCTTCAGCACCTCATCCTTAATATGAATCGGTGTACTTCATATGCAATGAATTTCAGTGAGTGAGAATGAAGCTTTTTTTCTTCAGTATTAGTCGTCGCCTAGTCATTCTGCGGGTGGTTGACTCTTGCTGTGTAATTCTTATCAATAGAATACTTATCTCAAAAGCATTCAAAAAAAGACAAAAGAAGGCGAAGCAGACAGAAACGAAATAGAAAGTGTTATCATGTTGCAAAAGTAAGAAGTGAATCATTTGAAAAATATTAACGTACAGTGTAAGAAGCAAAACAAAGCTAAAAAGAATCCAGAACGTTTAGTATTTGACTACTTTCCCTCGGTGAGTAAACTCTTTTGAATATTATATACTTAGTTCCAAGGTGCTGCAAATATTGAAAACGATTCAGACAGATAGGACATTGCGGTTCGTGAGTATAGGTGTACGAAACCAAGTTTTTTTAGTCTCGTCCCAGTTGAGTTTTTTTGGCCTCAGTCCCGATAAAAGTTTTTTGGTACAGATCTAGAGAGAACTATTTCAAAATCGATTCCTATCACACCTAAAATAATTCTTCCATATTCGTATTCTCATTCATTTAGTTGATGACTAGCACTATTTTAGTTTATCTCTCTTGAGTTATGTTCTGATTGAAATGATTTAGGGTGTGGGTGTGGATGTGGGGTGTGGGTGTGGGTATGGGTGTGGGGTGTGGGTGTGGATGGACGTGGATGTGGGTGTGAACCTTTCTCTTCTTGCACACTCACACCCACCACACCCACATCCACACCCCACACCCACACCCACACACCCACACCCATATTAACGTTTATATCATAGCATCGAATACACTAGTCGAAGATGGAGGAAGAAGAAACAGAATCTTTCGATCTCGAAGCATACTTTAAACGAATAAAATACGATGGACCACGTACAGCCACACTCGAAACATTGCGATCTCTTCACTTTCTGCATCCTCAAGCCATCCCATTTGAAAACCTCGATATAGTCATGCGCTTTCCACCACAATGTCTCGCTGTTCGATCTTTGAAAGAGAAATTAATCGACGCCTGCCGTGGCGGTGGCTGCTGTGAAAATAATCTCCTACTCAACGCTGTTCTCAAGCAACTCGGCTTCAAAACACGCTGTCTTGCAGCACGTGTTGTTTATGAGTCACGAGGACCCAATGCTCCACGTTCTACACGCGGTCACAGTCTTCTTCGCATCAATATCAACAACGAAGGCTCCTTTATTGCCGATGTTGGCTTTGGAAGTCTGACGCTAACAGCACCGCTACGAATCAGCGACGATTCCGACATCAGGATTGGAGAAGAGCAACAAACTCCCCATGAAACATTTCGCATAGATAATATTGGTGATAGTTCCTATTTACTACAAGTGAAGCTGAAAAGTAGCAACAGGAATAATGATGATGTCGAAGAATGGAAGCCGGTATATATTTTTGACAATCAAGAGCAAACCAAAGAAGATTGCAAAATAATGCAATATTTCGGATGGACTCATCCTTCGTCGATATTCATTAACAGTTTGTGGATCTCTATTGTTCTCAAAGATACTCGATATTTACTCCGCAATAAGATTCTTTTCTCCTATCGACTTCGAAAATGCAACGAAAAACACGAAATTGGTTCAATCGATGAGTTCCACGAAATACTCTCGTCGATTTTCGGAATTGTTCTGCCTTCTTCCTTACGAACAAAATTCGACGAAACTCTTATTCATCTTGAACTTTTCCACAAAACATGACATGAGACGAGATAAGATGCGTATTTTGTATACGACGAACTGATAAGATGATAGATTGTTTCGATATTCCCACATTGGAAAAGGAAAGGACTGAAAAAAGCTTCAGGGTGTGGGTGTTTGTGGGTATGGGTGTGGTTGTTAGTAAACGTCACCAAGAACAAGAGCTAGGCCCACACGCATACCCCACACACTCACACTCACACCCACCCACACCCACCCACACCCATGACAACACCCACCTACACCCACGACCACATCCACATCCACACCCCATACCAACCACCCACAGCCACACCCTAATTATTTGCCTAATTAAACATTAATTAGTGTGGGTGTGGATGGGTGTGGATGTGGATGGGTGGGTATGGGTGTGGGTGTGGGTGTGGGTGTGAGTGTGGGCGTGGGTATGGATGTGTGTGGGTGTGGGCGTTGGCGTGGGTATGGGTGTGGACTTTATTAAAGATCACACCCACACTCCAAACCCTCACCCACAGCCACATCCACACCCACACCCACCCTCACACCCACATCCACACCCACACCCACACTCACACCCACATCCACACCCACACCCACACTCGAAAAAAGACCATTGTGGACGAAAACACCCAGCCACATTCACACCCACACCCTTATACAAAAAAATCATTGATATCATACATGAACGTAAATTAAGTTCATCCATTTCTATTTCGGTGTGGATGTGGGTGAAGAAGACATCAAAATCTCACACGCATACCCACACCCACTTCAACAAGATAGTCATATTTCTGGAATTTATTACAAAAAAAAAGTAAACTAATTTAAAATGAACTGTTACAAAATCAATTCACTGATTCGTTCATCATATACAAATATTATGAATTTAAATCTTTTTTTACAAAATAAATAAATAAATAAATAAATAAATAAATAGCAAATTATATTGAATTATCTTTAGTGATCAAATATAAAAATAATTTAACCCAAAACAATACAGACATCCGAGCCATACTCATTTCTAAACTGAGCAAAGCCCGAAGCCAGACCATTATATTCCCAGGCTTCATTGTAAATAAAAATATTGACGTAATGATTGGGAAATACAGTCTTTAAACTGTTAAGAAGTCGAACACATCGTGCTTCATTATTTATTATACCTTTTGTATCATAAATAAAAGGAAATGCTTTTTGTTTGACAATATTATCATCGATAGAAACTCCCGAAGATTTTTCTAATTTTAAAACTGTCAACCAATCGTTATTTTCTACTTGAACATCTAGCAATTGAGTGCCATAAAACAATCCATATCCACCAGGTGTTCTGAATTTGCAAACATACAATGCATCATTGGGATATGCCTTTTGAAAATTTCTTGTAATACTTTCTGCAGTAACAGGCATTCTAATATAAACTGATGAAATGATTTAAATCAATGTTGTTCGAATTATGTAATAAATAATACAGTGTATACACTGTTAGCTGAGGAAACGCTGTTCTGCCGTTAAAACGATGTTTAATGTCACATCGTTTAAACGATGATATATTGACCAAATTACGCGTTTATCACAAAAAACGATTTTG